CTCTCTACGCTCATACAAAGCAACAATTAGTCGGCGGAGGCCAAAGCGTTTCGCGAAGGGGTCTGAGTTCACTCTAGGAGGCGCTGCGCCAAGCATGGGCAGCCGAGATTACCAGAAATCGGAGCCGGATTTACGAAAGGTCCAGGATGGTCCCGTGGTCATGGTCCCGTTCAGACATAGTCCTTGAAACTGAGGGTGCCCATGGTGAACAGCGCGGCGGCTCGGCGTCATGAAGAGCGGAAGGAGCTCAGCGACGCTGGAGAGGATGAGGCGCTATCGACGTCTGCGAAGACTGGTCGACAAGTCCCCGCGTCCACGATCCCGTCGGAGAGGTCCCCGCCCTGGGGGGTCGCCGAGCAAGTTCGTAAATGGGGTATGCGGTATGATGGCCGAACGGACCCGTTAGACTTCGTGGAGATCGTGGAGGAAAGAGCGATCACTTACGGCATCGAGCTGGATCGGATGCCACGGGCGATGAGCGAGGTATTCGCGGATAAGGCGGCGAAATGGTTCTTGACCGGCGGGTTGAGGGATTCATCGTGGGCCGATTTCAGGAGGGAATTTTTGGATTTCTTCCTCCCCGTATTTCAAGCGCTTAGAGGACCAAATAAGGTCGCGCCATCAAAAAGAAGGAGAAAATTTCAAAGACTACCTGATCGAACTTAGGTTGTTGATGCGGCAGGCACGATACAGAACGGCACAGGAGCTGTATCGAGCCTATGAGAACGCTGCCCCAGACTATCGGTTATACGTGAGGCGTCATGAGTTTGCCACACTGACGCAACTCACGCAGATGGCAGCCGAATCCGAAAATGTTCAAGGACAGAGGAGGGAACAGGACAGAGAGGCTGCAGCGAGCAGAACGAAGGCTGCATGGTCGAAGCCGGCCGAAAATCGACCGAACATCCCTTTCCACACACAGACGCCGGGACCCCAAACTAGAGGTCTGGCGGCAGGAGCAGCGGTGACGCCCGCGGCGACATCTCAAGAGGCTGTCCACCGTTTGATGGCAAAGGAGACTGAGCCCGGAATGGGAACAGGACGAACGTGCTATCGATGTAGATAAGTAGGCCATTTCGCACGCGAATGCCAAAGCGGACAGGCGCCGTCTTGTTGCCGATGCGGAAGGAAAGGGAAAAGCACGCGGGAATGCTGCGAGCGCGACGACGCGGGAAACGGGACGGGGCGCCCCCTGCTGGAGCGGGGCGGCGCCGCCTAGACAGCAAAGATGAGGCGAAGAATCCTCTTTCAGTGGAGGAGGGGAGGATCGTCACGGCGGTGGCTATTGGGGGTCGAGCGATGACGGCCACAATCGACACCGGGGCCACACACAGTTGCATAAGCGAAGACTGTGTGCGCCGGCAGGCGATTCGAGGCGAAATCCAGGAGATGCAGTCATGGAAGTGAGTCTCGCAGGAAAGGTTGTAAAAATAACATTGCTCGTCATGCCGGCGATGCTGGACCACCTTATCTTGGGAATGGACTTCTTATGCGCTATAGACACCACGTTGTATTGTGGCAACGCAGCGCTCACCATGAGGATGAAAGAGGAGCCGAACGAGGAAGCGTCCTTGAGAAGCGTGCCAAATATATCGATAGAGAGCGACCGGTCTGGAGGTCCGAAATCGCTTGCTCGACCAACGGTTCGTGGACAAGAACGGAAGAGAGGCCCCGAGGCACCGTGTTGGTCCCCGACGCAGAAAGGTGGCGCGGCGTCAGCGGGCAGAGGATTGCCGGTCGATGAGCAGAACACGTCGAAGAGGGGCGGGCCGCCCGCCCAGTCGATCAAGAGATGTCGCAAGACGCCGAAGGAAGAACTCGGGAAGTGTCCTCAGCTAGCGAGGACGAAGGATCGGGAAGAAGGGCCGGAGGAGTGTCCCCCGGAAGCTAAGTTGGTGGGATTGGAGGCGGAGGGCGTCGGTGAAATTCGGAGTAGCCAGTCACCGCGGAGTCCAATAGGCCAAGAAGAGGACGAGGAGAATGCAGAGTCTTCCCCGACGACACAAGGTGGCCGGAGGACCTGGAGGACGAGCTGAAAGAGTTCCTGGAAGCGGAGCTGGCGCTTTTCGAGGGACTGGACGGAGTGTCAAAATCGCCGAGCATAGCATAAGGATGCGGGATGATAAGCCTCTTAAGCAAAGATATTATCCCAAGAATCCGGATATGAGGAGAGTGATCGACGAACAGGTAGACGAGTTGATTCGAGCTGGAGCTATCGAGCCTTCGCGAAGTCCGCATAGTGCGCCCATCGTCTTAGTAAAGCAGAAGACCGGAGATTGTCGCATGTGTGTGGACTACCGACAGCTAAATGCACACTGGCACATACTGGCAGATCCCCATGGCGGCGGACAGCAGCGAATGCAGGGCGTTCACGGTCCCGGGGAGAGGACTATTCCAATGGTGAGTGATGCCATTCGGTTTACATTAAGCAGGCGCTACGTTCCAGAGAGCGTTGGACACAGTAATAGGACCAGGACATGGAGCCGCACGCTTTTGCGTATTTAGATGACATTGTGGTGATCGGCGACACGAAAGCGCAGCATGTGGAGAACTTGAGGGAGGTCTTCCGCCGATTGAGGAAAGCCAACCTTCGAATAAACCGGAAGAAATGTAGTTTCTTCAGAAAAAGGTTGGTCTATCTCGGACATGTCATCAGCGAAAAAGGGATATGCACGGATCCCGCAAAGGTCGGGGCGATCCGCCGTTTTCCGGCACTCTCGACCCTCAAGGAGTTACGACAGTGTCTGGGAATGGCATCGTGGCACGGGCGATTTGTATCGAACTTTGCGTCGATGGTGGGCCAATGACGAGACTCCTTAAGAAGGGCCAGACTCCCTCCTCCCTCCCTCTCCTCCTGGAGTGTGGAGCGACGAGCAGGAGGAATCATTGAAGAAACTCAAAGAAAGTATCACGACTGCGCCAGTGTTGGCGTGTCCCGACTTTTCGGCGAGGTTCGTACCACAGACGGACGCCAGCTTGGGTGCGCGGTGCTCACGCAAGAGGTCGAAGGCGAGGAAAAGGTGATTGCATACGCTAGTATGGAGTGCTTCGCGATTGTCTGGGCGATCAAGAAGATGCGGTGTTATCTCGAGGGCTATCGATTTGAGGTGATTACAGACCACTTGGCGTTGAAGTGGCTCAACTCAATAGAGAGCCACACGGGGAGGATCGCGAGGTGGGCACTGGAGCTACAACAATTTCAGTTCGACATCCGCTATCGACGAGGGAAATTGAATGTTGTGGCCGACGCACTCTCTCGACAACCTGTGGAAAGCTGCCAGCGAATGATGGAGGCCACTCCCCCTTGCAAGTGGATAACAAGAATGTGTGGGAGGATCAAAGAGGATCCAGAGAAATTCAAGGATTACGTTGAGGAGAACGGACAGCTGTACCGTAACCTTGGCCACCGGATGGACGATGAGGATTATATTCCCTGGAAATTGTGCGTCCCAACTCACCAGCGGAAAAGAGTGCTGCAAGAATGCTCCCACGGCGGGATGCGGTTACAGGTTACTGCCCCGTACTCCCCGCAGGAAAATCCTACCGAGAGTACGAACCGCACCGTCAAGACGATGATGACCCAGTACATCGAGGGGCACCAGAGCTCGTGGGATGTGCTGTTGCCGGAGATATCACTAACGATCAATTCTAGTGTCGCAGATTCTACCGAATTCACGTCTGCGTTCTTGATGATGGGTAAAGAGCCTCGGCTCCCGTCTGCTCTCTACGACGAGGTTACTCCCAGGTCGGCAACGAGGGAAGTCGACTTAACAACAAGGAAAGAAACGATGAAAGAAATCTTCGAAGTGGTCCGTAACAATTTACAAAAGGCATCGAAGGCCCAGGGCAGGTATTACAGCCTGCGTCGGCGAGAGTGGAGGCCCGCGCTAGGGTCGATGGTTCCGCTGCGACAGCACCAGCTGTCCAGCGTAACGGAGGGCTTCGCAGCGAAATTGGCGCCCAAGTTCGATGGCCCCTACAGGGTCGTCCACTTCATTTCTCCCAACGTGGTGCGGCTCGCTCGAGCGGGCGATCGTAGGAGGGTGACCAACCTTTCCCAGCTTAAGCCTTTCTACACTGAGGAGGAAGAGACCAGCGGAACGGCGTTGAGGAGCGAAACAGAGGAGGGGGAAGGTGGTTATTAGCACCGACGAGGAGTGCGAAGAGCCACGGGCTACGCCGGTGCGCCTGGAGGACGGATGGAGAAGAGACGTTCCCCCAAGGATCGCCGTGTGAGGAACAGCCGAATACCGATCGAATCCACTCCATCCACCACTCCACGATGGACGTCTCGGTGGCTTTAGAAGATATGATCATGGTGTTAAGGGGAAACTTCACGACAATGTACTTGCAAATGCCCGGAGTGCAGCGGACTGCACCGCATGTGGAGGAGCAAACTTCCCTTCCCGGTTCGCCGACCCCATCACAGCCGAAAAGCCACGATATTTCGACGGATGAGGAGTCGGAGAGATGGGCCAGCCAGACGCCATGGACTGCCAGCGAGGGGGAGGACGAGTCTGCTGCAAGAGAGGTCCCCGACCAGCTCTCGTCACGCGGGGTAGGAAGCGGCAGGGAGCACTGTCCCTCCGTCCCCAATCCTACCCCAGGAGTCGTGGCGCGAGCGGAGGCCGGAGAGCCAGAGGAGCTGTGGACAAGAAGAGGCAACCGATGCGATTACGTGGAGCCAAAGCCGACTCCGAAACGCCCGTTGGAGAACGACGCTGATGACAATCGCCGCTGCGATTCCACGCGAGTCGCGTTTCGCTACACTCCCGTGGGCCGTGGAGAATAGGCGTCGACTGGCAGAGCCAGTCTATCGGTCAGAGCGGCCGAGTGGACGGCCTTGGGCGGACCGCCGAGACCGGTATGCTAGATCCCACGCATGCCCGAACGTCGCTGGAACATCAAGCTATGGTGAGACCACTCGACGGAGGAGACTGGCGAGTTTCGCTGAGTCGCAATCGAAGTGGCGAAAGCTGGACGATTCCCGCATGGGTGGATCAAACCACAAGAGAGAGGTCGATGACGTCCTCGAAGGGTGGCTGTCGGACGAGTCGTCCTGGTCGAGCGTCGAAGATGGGGCAGAGCGAGAGGCGCTCCCCTTCGTCCCGTGGAATTGGACAGTGCGTCCGGCTGGCACTATTTTGACAAAGGAGGCTGTCGAGTTAATAAAGAGAGAAGCTGGCGCCTGCAGCCGACGACTTCGCCGCACGCGCTTCAAGGTGTTATCGGAGGACAGCGTTTACAATGTCACGGTGGCGGCCACAGGAGCCGTAGTCGTCTCCTTATTAAGTAAGGGAGGGGGGGTGTGAGGCGGATCGCCGATCACCGCCTTATAAGATTAACCGATAAGGGAAAATAGATTTTTGAGTTGAATTAATTAATATGGAACATGAAATATTGATTTGGATTTATATAAGATTAATCAATAAGTGAAAATAGATTTTTGAGTTGAATTAATTAATATGAAACATAAAATATTAAATTGGATTTACAGATTTTTATACCCTGAACCCATTGAAAATGGGAAATCAGGGTATAATGGTTTTGTTAAAAGTATGTAACAGGCAGAAGGAATCGTGGCAGACCCCACAAACTATATATATTCTTGATCAGGGCAATGATCTGAGTCGATTTGGCTCTGTCCGTCTGTTTGTCCGTCCGTCCGTCCGTATGTATGAACGCGTCGATCTCAGAAGATATAAGAGCTAGAGACTTGAAATTTTTATACTCATTCACGAAAGTGAATCAGTATATTGGTTTTGTGCAATGTCCGTCTTGCTGTCCGTCCGTCTGTCCGTCTGTCCGTCCGTCCGTCTGTCCGTATGAACGTAATCTATTTCGGCGCTATTGAAGCTAGAGACTTGAAATTTGGAACACATACTCGTGTATATATCCGATCTATAAAGTGTTAAAATTTTCCCGATCCGCCCACTAGGGGCGTGGCAAATCGGAAAATGCATTTTCCGATATACCAGAAATCATGTTTGTTGAAGAGCTAGAAAGCTGAAATTCGGTATGTAGGTCCGCGTTGACCACCCAAGATCGAGTTATGGCGGATATATCTACGCCCATTGGGGGCGTGGCAAATCGGATAAAACTGTATCTCCTAAAGTTGTAAACCTAGAATGCTGAAATTTTGCACGTCAGCTCATGGTATGATTCTATAAAGTCTAAAGATAAAATTATAAGTCTACGCCCATTGGGGGCGTGGCAAATCGGACCTGAAGATATAGTCATTTTTTAAATTCTCCTATATTTTGGACACTATTGATGGCAGAGACCTCAAATTTTGTATATATACTCGGACTGATCACCCAAGACCAAAAAGTTTTGTCGGATATATGTCCGCCCACAGGGGGCGTGGCAAACCGCAAATGTTTATATCTCCTAAAGTATAATAGCTAGAAGCTTCAAATTTGGATAGTTGAGTTACTGGTAGCCTCCTCTATCGATTCCCCAAAAATAATTTTTACGCCTCTTTAGGGGCGTGGCATATCGAAAAATACCCTGTAATTTTCACATTTTTTGAGGGTAAGCATTCAAACTTTGCAGTTAGGGTACCGTTATCTCTTTCTAAAAACTGACCAAAAATGAAGTGTCTACGCCCAGTTGGGGCGTGGCAAATCGGAAAACCCTGTATATTCTACAGTATTAGAGCGAAACTTAACTACTAAATTGTTGATGGGATGTGAATGAGTACTCCGCAGTCGGTAACGCCCGACTGCAACGTTCTTACTTGTTTTTCCTAGGTCCGTGTATATCACGCGCATATCATGTTTTTCTTTAAATATCGATAACAAATCTCTATATTTTATTATCGATTAAAAACCTTATCGAAAGCTAGATATTTAATTATATCTCCTACACCTTTAGAGCTAGAGCTTCGAAATTTTAAATGTAGACTTATATATATTTAATACAATTTCGATTTTTGTTAAAATTTACCCCCCACTTCTATTTTCACCCCATCACCCACACCTTTGTAAAAAGCGTATTTCGAGTACTAGAGACTTGTGCTTTAGAATGTACATAGCGTATAGATATATTCGATCGTATGTGTTCATATATATGCGATCTTGGGTGTGCATATATGTGCATAAATATATGCGAGAAGAAGTGAGTGTAAACACATTGGTGTATACGAGTATGCGGGCATAGGTATATGTATATGCGCGGTCAAAAGTAGACATATATTTACGCAGAGTGGTGTGCGTTGGATTAACCGTTCGGCCAGAGAGCGGCTTAACGACGCAAGGGCCATAAAATCTGAGCGCACAGTGGGACGAGTGCAGCGGATACCAAGGTGAAAACATAGTCATGTGAGCGTGTATGAGCGTATAGGCGAGTGAGAGAAAGAGGGTGAGGGTCAACTTTTGGCCGTTTGTCCGTTACATGGGCTCGCTGCACCCTACGTAGGGCATATTCGACATGTTGGTATGAAAACGCGTTTTACTGAGATTTGTCCGTTTTTGGTGGCCTGGGCCCACTATGCAGCTCGAATACTATAGTTTGTTCGCCCGTTGCATTATTTCGTGATACCCTACCTAGGGCATATCCGACCCAAAATAAAATAAAATAAAATGAAATAAAATAAATTAAAAATGATATATAACAAGTAAACAAGGCGGAGCGAATCGGAATAAAGCAAGGTGAAGTAGTATGAATTCAAGAAGTGGGAAGGCAAAATAAAGAGAACGAAGCAAGGTTTAGCAAGAGTAAAGTGAAGAGAGATAAAACAAGTAGAAAATGAAAACGGGCAAGATCCGATAATGAAGATGGAATAAAGTAAGTTAAAATAACGGAAAATAAATGAAAAGCAAATAAAGAGAAACGAAAAGAAGATGAAATAAAGTCAGTTAAACGAACACAAATAAATTAAAAGCGAATGAAGAGAAACGAAAAGGAATGAAATAGGTTAAGAGAGGGGAAAAAAAACAAGAAAAAAAATAAAAATAAAATAAAATAAAATAAAATAAGACAAAAGCAAGTAGATTAAGACGAGATAAAGAGAAGCAAAAGAGAATGCAATAGGTTAAGATGAAATAAAATTTAAAAAAATAAAAAAATAATAATAATAATAAAATAATAATAAAAATAAAAATAAAACAAAAGTAAATAGATCAAGACGGAATAAAGAAAACAAAAGAGAATAACGAAATAGAATAAGAGGAAATAAAAAGATGTAACGAACCTTCGGTTTATCCCGAGTCTAAGCTGGGCTAGTTTCAGCTGACTATGGATTCGTTGCCAACAAATTTATTTGTTGAAGCCCCTGCGATAATTAATTAGTCTTGTGGTTTAGGTTTTATAGCGCAATGGTATATTTTCTTAAATAAATATGAAATGTACACGTCACTTATGTAAATGTATGCTGGCTCGCTGGTTTGCTTAGCGACGCACACCTACTGAGCGCTTGTTCAACGCACTCCGGCTGGGAGAGTGTTGTGCTAAACACGCTAGCTCACCGTAAGGATTTGAGAAACGCCAGGATCTGGATCTGTAAGCTCTGGCGGTTCGCCAGCTATGCCGATCTCTCCTACTATCTCGCTCACTCACAGCACAACACTAGCTTCGTTCACTCACAAGCACTTCTCTTACGCACGGCTACGCGAACTCACCCAGGTGTGCAGGCCTCGCTTACGTTGCTGATATGCACCGATGTCCTGATCGGCGCCTGCTGATGATCTGCAAGGATTCCCACTGGATATCCTTGCTGTTCCCACGATGTCCTTGCTGTTCCCACGATGTCCTGGGAGTCCTGATTTACCACTCGCGTTGACTTTCACTTGACTTTCTTCACGCACTTTCACTATATAGCTTCTCACCGGTATATTTTCGACTTCTTTTTTGACTCCTTTTGACTTCTTTTGACTTCTCGTATGGAGCTGCTGGTGGCCTTTTATACCCCAGCCACAGGCCCTGCTTCGTGTGGTAACGGGGCCTGTTCGGCTCTGGAGCGGGGCCTTCCTGCTTCTCGTGCCCATAAAAACGGTAAAGTGGCGTGATCTGGGTGACGCCACTTTCCCACCAAATTGCGTGGCAGCCTCCCATTGGCCGAAGTACCGTTGTTGCCATGCGAGTGAAAACGTCCACTGCTATCACCCGGCCCGAACGGCACCTCGGCTAACGGTCATCGATGATCGTCGTGCGTGCGACGCGAACCCATTGCTGAATCTGTAGGAGCGAAAGAGCCCGCCTCTAACAGGACTTTGACCCCCCTTCCAGTGCGAGGGTCGCTCCTACAGTATTCGCGTCGCTGTGTGGAGCAACATGTATATGCACGTATATGCATATAAACGCACAGCAAATACATACGTTTATATACATTAATACGTGCATACCTATATTGCTCCTCACACTCCCCTCTTCCTTCGGGAAAACACGAGACCATCGTGTTTGAATTTGGCGCCCGCCTCCGCTGCGCTGCTCCGTTTTGCGTCGCTCCATCCCTCGATGCTCCATTTTGCGCTGATCGCTGCTGTTAACGCTCTGTTAATGTTAACAGCTGTATTTTCCCCTTACCGCTGGCAATGCTGCACTCTGCCGGTAAGTGAATGGGGCTAATATTTTTATAAGTCTCGACAAAACCTTAATAAAAATATTGTTTTTCAGGTTGGGCATCTTTTCCTCTATGCCCCTTGACCTGATGGCCTGCCGCTGTAGCATAGGCCTCTGGGGTGGTGGCGGCGCTGGCACCGACACCTGGCGTTGTAACGCTGGCCGGGCGGGCAGTCGGATCGGCCGCCACTCCTCGTCGGCGTCCATCGACGTCTCCGGTGGCGTGGGCGGCGGCGCGGTCGCCTGTGGCGGCGTCGTCTGTGGTGGCGTCTCCTGTGGTATGGGCGGCGGCGGTGTCGCCTGTTGCGGCGTCGCCTGTGGTGGCGTCTCTGGAGGCGAAACTTCTTCCAATATGAACCCCGCGGGCTTCGTGGTGAGGGGTTCGCTCCAAGTTATGACAAACTCGGCGCGATGCTCCAAGCGACCCCCCACCACCTTTCCAGCGTAGCTGGCACTTACCCGCGGAGGTTCTGGCGTTTCTCCCTCCTCCGAATCGGAGATCACTATTGTCTCATCCTGCTCGCCCACCTCGTCCTCGTCGCTGTCGATTATAATGATGGGCTGCTCTTCTTCTTCTTCTTCGCTGCTCTGCAGCGCTCGGTGGGGCGTGGGCGGACGCGGTGGGCGCCATAACGGGCGCGTTGGCGAATATCGGCCGTTGCGGACGTAGTCGCTGACCAGCGACTCGTCCCACCGCTCCTCCTCCTGCCGCTCCTCCCAGGCTGCGCCACTGGCGAGGTCACCGGTGACCATACCCTGTCCTCTTTTTCACTGGTCCAGCTACCTGGCGACCACGAGCCATCCGTGGCCACGCTCTCCTCCTCGCTGGTTGACGGCTCCAACTCCAAATACGGCCGATGGCGTCGTAGCCGTCTCTTCGGCTGCCGGTGTGGGTGAAACGGCAGTCTCACCGGCGGCAGCCGCGTTTTACTCCTGCGCGCTCGTGGTCTGGACACCGGTGTGTCCACCCTGCTCGCTCCTCGTGCCGCTCCAGCGTAGTCGCTGGCCAGCAACCGAGGATCAGCAGGGTGTACCCGGCCGATGCCCAGATCGAGATTCTCTTTCGCATGCATGCATACATAGCCCTTCGGTGGCCGAACAAATGCAAGCTCTTCTGCTGCGTTGCATTGTTGTTGGCCGTTTTATGTATCTCTTTGGTAGTGATCGTTTTATATGTCGCTGTGTATTTTGTTGTTGGCTGTTTTAGATGTCTCTGTACATTTTGTTGTTGGCGGTTTTAGATGTCGCTCGCTTTGACATCTTCGTGCGCTAGTGATCGCTGGGCAGCCGACGTAGGCCCTTGACCCTTGCCTACGCTCGCTTGCTCTCGTTTCGGTGTGTGTGTGTGCAGCAATTCTTTTGCCTGGAATGCGTGCGGCTTGTTGTTGTTTTTCCGCTTTTCGCTTTCGCTAGACAAATACATAATTTCAGCTGCGCGCGTTGTTGTTGCGCATGTACCGTATATGAGTGCTGCTTGCGCATGCACTGCTTTGTTGTTGTATCTATGCATTGCGCATGCACTGACAGCTAAGTTTTTCGGCGCAGTACTGTACACTGCTTGCTGTTGTGCGCGCGCAGTTCAAACAAATTGTTGTTGCGCACCCACATACCGTCATTTTCTTGGTGGCAACTGTAGTTTTCCAGTCACAGATGCGTTTCGCAACCGAAATTATGCACTTTTGATCAAAATTCTGTCGTCTTTTTTTCTCTTCTTTTATTATTATTTTTTTTTTTTTAAATGAGAAGCAATACACTTCGCTGTGTATTCACTCCCTTTTTTTTTTTTTTTTTTTTTTTTTTTGGAAAAAAAAAACAAAACAGCTCTATTGTTCACCCGTGTCTCCTCTCCACGGCTTGAGATCCGCCACATGCGCCGTCCTGGTCCGCTTTTCTGCCTCCGACCTTATCCGGCAGATGACTGGAGACACAAAACTGGCCACTATATATGGGCCTCCATAGCGTGGCGCCAGTTTTGCTGCGAATCCCTCTGCGGCATTAGACAAGTGGCGTTCCTTTGCCCACACCTTGTCACCTACGGCCGGCTTCCACTGCCGCCTCCGTAGGTTGTAATGCCGCACCTGATCCTGTCCAGCTCTCTCCAGGTTCCGACGCACGATCTCAAACACTTCGCGCATCTTGCTGGCTCTCTCGACTGGGGTCTGTGCCTCCTGGCCTGTGCCGATCGTTTGCGCGTCGAACAGTGATTTGGGCAGCCTAGGCTCTCGCCCTTGCGTGATGAAGGCGGCCGAATATCCTGTGGATGCTGACACGCTGCTGTTGACCGCCAACGTCAACTCCGGCAATGCGTCGTCCCAGCATCTCTGGTCATCTCCAGCGAACTGCGCAATCATCGTTTTCACTGTCCTGTTGACCCTCTCAGTGGGATTCTCTTGAGGTGTGTATGGTGCTGTCAGCTGGTGGCGCACCCCAAGCTCCTCTAGAAACACCTTGAATGCCCGACTGGTGAATTGGGTGCCATTATCCGTAATGAGCACCTTCGGCGTGCCGAACCGCGCCAAGATCCGCTCTCGAAATGCCTTTTGGAGAGCCGCGCTATTCGCACTCCGCAGCGGCACCATCTCCGTCCATTTCGAGAAGCGGTCTATAAAAACCAAAAGCATAGTGTTCCCATGCTTTGATCTCGGCAGTGGGCCAACAAAATCGGCACAAACTGTTGCCCATGGCTCCTCGGGCACCTGTGTCAGCATTTGCCCAGCAGCTTGCAGCTGACTGGGCTTATATCGCTAACACACCTCGCAGCGCTGTATGTATCTTCTCACATCCCGGTACATACCTGGCCAGTAATACCGCGCTGCCACCCGAGCGATAGTTTTTCGGCTCCCAAGGTGTGGGTGGCTTCAGCTCGGCGATAGCGGCCACTTTCTCTGGATCCGTGCAAATGCCATCCTCCGTGACCTTGTGACCCAGATACTTTAGCTCTTTCTTGAAGAAATCGCACTTGTCGATGTTGATCCTCAAGTTGGCTGCCCGCAGTCGCCGGAACACCTCTCGTAGGTTGTTCATATGCTCCTGTCGCGTCCGGCCGATGACGATGATGTCGTCCAGGTAGGCAAAGGCATGGGGCATCATTTCTGGGCCGATCACTTGGTCCAGAGCTCGCTGAAACGTTGCCGGCGCAGAATGGAGTCCAAATGGCATCACTTTCCACTGAAAGAGCCCCTTTCCTGGCATCGTGAATGCCGTCAGTGGTCTGCTGGCCTTCTCCATCGGTATCTGGCAATACCCATCCTTCAAATCCAGGCTGCTGATGTAGCGCGCCTTTCGCAGCTGGTCCAGAATGTGATGCACACGCGGCAAAGGGTATGCATCTTTGATGGATCTGCTGTTTAGCTGTCGAAAATCCACACATAGCCGCCACTTCCCATTCTTCTTACGAACCATGACAATCGGCGCGCTATGTGGGCTCTTCGAGGGCTCGATGCAGCCTTTGGCCAGCAGCTCATCCACCTGCAAGTTGATCTCCGCCTGCATTTTGGGATTTTTGGGGAAGTAGCGCTGCTTTATGGGCCTGTTATCCTGCATCCTGATCCGGTGCTCCGTGATCCTGGTGGTGCCCTTCACATGCTGGAACTTCTCCAGCTCATGCCTCAGGAAAGCATCCACCTCTGGGTCATTGTGCATAGGCGTTGGCTGTTCCATATTCGCCTCCATCGGCGTCGCTGGGTTCGCCTCCACGCTGGCCACAACCACGGATAGCTTCTCCTCCGGCTGTCCGCTCGACTGTGGAATTCTTGGCTCGACCTTCAATGTCAAGCCACCGCACTCCAGTGTGGTGCCCATGCTGGCCAAGAAATCCCAGCCCAGCACTAGATCTTCGATCACTCCTGGCAGAATCAGCAACGGAATCTGTATTTGCTGATTCCCCAGGCTGATCGTCGCCTCCAGTTGTGAGTCCACCTGACTGCAACTGCCGTCCGCTAAGCGTATGCGCCGCCGTGTAGCACGCACCACGCCCACTCCTCTGAGCTCGTCAGCAAGCTTTTCGCTGATAAAGCTGCTTGTGGCTCCCGTGTCGATCGTAGCTCTTTGTTGAGTGGCTCCAATGGCCACGATCGCCGACATCTGGCTGCCTTCATCCTGGAGACGGCCCACTAGTGCCTGGGGGCTCTTGACTGCTGCTCCCGCTCGCCCCTGGATGGCGGGTGTCGCTTCTCGTTTCCCGACTGGCAACAGGCAAACGTTCTCACTCCAATGCGCCCGCACTGCTAGCAGAAATCCAGCGCCTTGTTGCGACACGTAAACGCGCGGTGCCCCTCCTGACCACACACTCGGCACGCCTTGGATGGATTCGGGATGTGTGTCCTCGTTCCGGTTGCGCCCTTCCTCGGCGCAGGAGAAAGTTTCGCCTCATCCTCCATGCGGCGATACTCCACATCGCCTCCAGCGTCGTCCATGGCCATCAGTCGTGACCGGCCAGGCCGTGGCTGTTGTCGTAACCTCTCGCGGTCCTTCTCCAGCTCCTCGAACTCATCGGCCAGGTGCATCAATTCCACTAGATTGTGGAATTGATACGGCCTGGCGTAAGCGCGCGGATCGGGCAGGCTGTTATTGTATATTAGCTTCATTTCGCGGTCTGCTCCATAGCGCAGAGGCCGCATGAGAGTCTGCATCTCCACCATGTAGACCTTAAAGCTCTCATCTACCATTTGCCTCCGGCGTTTGACGTCATCCTCCAGCTTCTCCAGATAGCCTCTGGGCAGGAAAAACTCCTGGAAGCTGCGCACGAATGTCGCCCACGCCGTCCAGTGCCGATTGTTGGCCACGTACCATTTCAAGGCCATGCCTTTCAGCAGCTCTGGCATCGCCCTTGGGATCATATCCAGATCCAGGCCCTATGTGTCAGCCGACCACTCCACCTGCTCCAAGAACTCCAAAGGCTTTGTGGTACCATCAAAACGGAAGCTCCACTCCCGCACTTGTTTGGCCACCTTTGGATATTCCTGAGCTGTGCTGTCGTGTCCTCGTGGCCTAATTTCCGGTTGCGGGGTGGATGTGGCTCTCATCTCACCCTGTCGCGTGTCCTGCAGTCGTGCTGCTGCGCTTGTGGAGGGCACACAGAGCCGCGCCACATGCGCAAGCTCTGATTCCAGGTCGTCCTCCGTGACGGCGGTCGTTGCCTCATCCCTGAGTGAGGCACGGCGTCCATGCAGTCGCTCCAGCTCGGCGATCCTCAGTGAGTAAGGAATGCTTCCTTCATTCCTCGCAACCCACTCGCCAAACTGCCTCCGCATAACGTCTAGTGTGCCTGACAAGCTCACTCCGAATTCGTCACCATAACGCAGCACTTCATCTTTTTTAAGATTGTATACCCACGCTCGCACCATATTCACAAGTATTCACTAATCACACTCTTATCGCAGGGCCCCACGTTGGGCGCCAGTTGTATGAAATGAAATGTACACGTCACTTATGTAAATGTATGCTGGCTCGCTGGTTTGCTTAGCGACGCACACCTACTGAGCGCTTGTTCAACGCACTCCGGCTGGGAGAGTGTTGTGCTAAACACGCTAGCTCACCGTAAGGATTTGAGAAACGCCAGGATCTGGATCTGTAAGCTCTGGCGGTTCGCCAGCTATGCCGATCTCTCCTACTATCTCGCTCACTCACAGCACAACACTAGCTTCGTTCACTCACAAGCACTTCTCTTACGCACGGCTACGCGAACTCACCCAGGTGTGCAGGCCTCGCTTACGTTGCTGATATGCACCGATGTCCTGATCGGCGCCTGCTGATGATCTGCAAGGATTCCCACTGGATGTCCTTGCTGTTCCCACGATGTCCTTGCTGTTCCCACGATGTCCTGGGAGTCCTGATTTACCACTCGCGTTGACTTTCACTTGACTTTCTTCACGCACTTTCACTATATAGCTTCTCACCGGTATATTTTCGACTTCTTTTTTGACTCCTTTTGACTTCTTTTGACTTCTCGTATGGAGCTGCTGGTGGCCTTTTATACCCCAGCCACAGGCCCTGCCTCTTGTGGTAACGGGGCCTGTTCGGCTCTGGAGCGGGGCCTTTCTGTTGCTCGTGCCCATAAAACGGTAAAGTGGCG